AAAAGACTAACACAACATTATATACTTCAGCCAGCATTCTCATGACAGTCATTTTCGTGAGCTGGTGCCAAACCACCCGATTGCAGATCGAAGGATTCAGCTTTAATGCCATTTGGGTGGTTGTCAAAATTATGGTCCCTTTTTGGGTCCTTATTATAATACGGCACCTATTATTTGGGGTACCCCAAAAGGGACCATAATTTTGACAACTACCCATTCGTTTCACTGATTCTCTGGCTGAGGCTCCTGAGCTTGCAACATTGATGCAGACGACTCGCTTGAACGAGCCGGGCATATGAGACGCAACTAGAGCAGCTGAACCAATATCAGGGTGTGCTACTACTGACCAATTAAGGGGAACGAGTCAGCTGCTTCAGCCACATGAAGTACCTCTGAACCTTCTATCTGTCCACGTCCCTGAACCGATTGTGAATCGAGCTTATGATCTTGAAGTTCGCAGTTCTAATTAGCTGCTTTTAAGACGGGAAAAGCCACATGTCATAGCGAGACTGTTAACAGCAGCAAACTTTGTTGAGCCGATTGTACCAGCAAATAGATACAATCACAAAGGTTGTTGATGCCGTCGAGGCAGCTAGCTCCTCTTTCCATCGTGAAACCTTTACCTGTGTCTCGTGACATTGCCCGGAGCGGCAAGGACACGAGACAGCGCCAGCACTCGGGGCCGTGATTTTGGAATGCCCCCGATGCATAGCAAACTGTTGTCAGCAAAGGTTTGAAGAAGCGGCGTCCTCGCTTCCTGCAGCCATGAGTCGTACAGTCGACACAATTGCATCGCCATGATAGACTCTGCAATGCAACAGAACCGAAGCATGATATCCAATGCTAGTGCAAAGCGCAGAAGTTGCTTCAACAAGGAATCTGCTGGCAGGAGACATATAAAGGCTAAGTCGGCCTGAGTGTTGGTTTGAAGTTCAGGGTGTCGGATGCTGCCTAGCCTGATTCTGGCTTGATGAGGCCTTCCCCCCGCTGCTCTTGCAGAGAGCATTCATTGTGCCTCGTTGCCAGGATGATGGCTGCAAGCCTCAGGGCCCGAACCCTGGAGTCCTGGAGCCACGACCGACACGATGCGTGGTAGACCTTGCCTGTGCAAACGAGCAGATCTTTGAGGTGCATGGCGGCTGCTGTGGCAGAAGCCAGGACTGCGGACAGTCTCGCAGACGTAGCCTGGGTCATGTAGACCGATGAACCAAGCTAATGATAGGTGGGTCTCACCGTTCTACAGACGTGGTGTAGTGTGAGGGTGAGGGTCTAGCATGCCCTCCAACATCCTGCCCCGAATGGTCCGAATGTGCACACCCCGCCTTCGCTAGGGACTGCTAGTGTGTTTGAGAGGGCTTGACCGACACAGTGCATCACATGGCTGCCTGAGTTGCCTCATGGCTACCTGCGCATGAAGATACGGTGAAAGGGCAAAACTGGCTCGTGGTACTGCTTCTCAGCTCAGCACAACTTAGTCGATTCGTGGCCTGAGGGCTTCGCGGAAACTGAAGTATGTTGTCATGGTCACAGCTGTTGGTAACAAGCAGAGTTGAGAGGGCTTTTGCAGAGGAGCTCGACGGCGGTAGAGAGGTAGAAGTTCAGTTGGCCCTCGTAGCGCCTGACAGACTTGGTGATGGTCTGAGCATGAGGTGGTTGCCGGCTGGTGCAGCGTTCTATTTGGATCATCCCCGCGCAGCTTTCACTGACCTATGGCAAGGGCTGCTTGTCGGCATCGTCTTCTGGCCACTGGCAGTGGGCAATGCGGCTTTGGCCAAAGTCCCGCCGTCTGTCAGCATAAACACCAGCCTTTTCTCGCCAATGGCATACCTGTTGCTTGGAAGCCTTCCGCTCCTTTCGGTGCAGTCTGGATCGACCGCAGCCTTGTGCCTTGGGGAACTTCTTGCCTCGAGTGAAGATGCCGATCTTGCAGCGATTGCAGGTTTGCTGGCTGTCCTCGTTGGAGCAATGCACTTCCTGATGGGCCTCCTCGACTTGGGAGCTGCCGTGGAGCTGTTCTCCCAGCCTTTACTCCGTGCTCGGACTGGAGCTGCGGCACTCATTGTTCTCTTGGGTCAGACTGAGACGCTTCTTGGACTCTCTGATCGTGTGCAAAGCACGCCTATACGTCGCTTCGTGACCGCCTGTTCCTCCATCAGGGAGATTTGCCCGCGAACTGCTGGCTTATCTGCTGCATTGTTGACTGTTCTGTTGATCTGCAAGGTCGTGGGACAGCGGGGGGCACAACTGGAACGTGGAAGTGTTGCTCGAAATCTCTGTGCCGGCGGCTGTACCGTCCTGCAGACCTCAGCCAACTTGGCAATACTTGTGGCGGCAGCTGTGGTGCAGAAGTACATGGCAGACATGGGAGGCTTGGAGTCCTTGGAGCGTTTCGAAACTCCTTCTCCCGAATATGTCTTCCAACGCTGGACTCTGCAACAGTTCGTGGACACACTGCCCACGGCCGCACTCACAGCTTTTCTCACGCTTGGCAGTCATCTCACCGTGGCCGAAAGAGTTCGACGCCCGACCGATTCTTGGAACCCGAGGCGTGAGCTCTTTGCTCTGGGCTCTGCAAGTCTGCTGGCTGCTCTCGTGGGAGGGATGCCTGTAATGGCTAACCTCGCAATCTGTCAGGCACTGCAGGGTGCAGCAGGCGGACTCGCTACTTTTGGAAACATCTTCGGACACCTTGTGGCTTTCGTGACCGTCTCCCAACTATCAAGTTTCGATTTTCCCCGCTGTGCCGTCTCGGTGATATTGGTGGTAGAATTTGCTCCATTGCTGCGGAGCCTTCCTAGGGAAATCTGGCACCTCTGGCAGCAGGCCTGCCTGACGTCCCCGAACAGTACGTTGCGTTTGATCGTGGCGAGCGATTTAAGCATTTACTCTATAGCGTTCTTATCGCCTCTGGTCTTTGGAATTGTCAACGGATCGCTCATTGCGGTCTGCATGCAGGTGGCCGTCTCTTTGTCCAGGTTTGCAGGGCCCGGATACGTCCACATCGGCCATGTGCCTGGAACCACCACCTACGATGAAATTGGGGTGCCGGGATCCTCTGCAGTTCACCTGGAGAAGATTGTGATTACAAGGCCCCTTGGCCCTCGCTGGTTCGGGAATGCGGCTGCAAACACCAGGGCGGCGAGACGCGAGCGGCGAAATCTTGATCGAGAGATCCTTGTTGCGATTGCAGACTGGCGCATGGTCTCCTTTTTGGACGAGACTGCGCTTATGCATTACAAGCGCGAGTGGTCGAATCTTGACGTGAAGGTCCTGGTGACGAACGCCTGTGCGACTGTGCGCCGGCAGATTAAGGAGTGTGGGCTCACCGATGTCCTCCAGCAGCCAGAGGAGACGCTTGTAGACTTGCATGCTGCTGTGCTGTGGGCCCAAGACTACATCAAAACAGTCGAATCAAGCCGTGTTGTAATCGGTATGAGTGCGAACCGTCGCTCGTCTGCCCAAACAGCGGATTAGTGGGCTCTGATTTTGTACAGTGTACAGCCACTTGCAGATGTTGACGGTTCCCCCTGTTTCCTCGATCCGGAAAAGCTGCAAAGCACGCATGGGCGACATCGATTTATCGATATTGCTTCCGCGTGCACGCAGGGAGGAAAGGTGCAAAGATGTATTGGAAACACATGCTGGGGCCATGTGAGCTCACAGCTTCGGATGCTTCATTGCTGCGGATGCATCGGCACGAAATAGAGCGGTTGCCTCAAGCTTGTGGATCTGCGGGCTGAGCTTGCCACTTTGTCAGTTTGTGTTGTCTCACACCGGATACCTTCGACAAAATAGGACCATTCCTTGGAGAGCTCCAATGGGTGCATGCTCTCGGCAGTATCCTGAGCTTGTTCCAGTCTCCAGTCCTTGGACCGGTCAGCAGTGGGTTCTCTGGCACTCGTACTGTGCATTGGGTCAGTGACCGAACCTTGCTACAGGGTGTTGTATTGCGTTGTCAATTGCCACGGAGGCTGCTTGCGAGTGCCACAGCAGAGGCAGAGAGGTTTGTCCTAGAGTGCTGCCACTGTCGTTTACCGAACGACGGAAGGTACCGGGAGCCGCTGGTCCAGCGCCCAGCGATACAGTGACAGTGCTCTTGACGCGGCCAGTGCTCGTGGGAGGCTTTCCTGGCAGGGACGACCTGGCGCGGAAGGCAAGACGGTGCAACGAGCTCATTTCGTCTGTTGAGGTTCCATGCTGACACCCCCAGAGTCCCTCTCCGCCCTTTCCTCTCTCACTGTTGAAAGCAGAAGGAAGTGCTGCGCATCTTCGTGGTCGTCGCATTCGTGGGTTCCTGTCATGACATGACTATCATCAACTGTGCCAGACATTCTCTGGCCAAGCTGCAATGTTCCCGTGTAACCCTCTAAATCTTGCGATACTGTAGCATGGCTTCTGTCCAACTCGAGGTAGGATCTCGAAGCCACTTCAAAGAGCTGTGCATGGCCTCGCAGCGATCTGCGGAGAGCAATCTGGCTCAGAGCTACGGGCTACTGACTGCTGTGCTCGAAAGAAGGCCGGGGCAAGCAGTCGGTTCGAGATTGACGCGCTGTTGACACATTGGCAGGCATGCATCTTGCAATCGGTCTGCTGCTTCTTGCGGCAGCTCATGGTCGTCCACTGCTGCAAGAAGCGACCGCGAAGGCTGGGAGATGAAGCCAAGGCCCAAGGCATGTGTTCCTCTAGCGCATTGAAAAGGATGGAGCGTCCGTCCGACGTCAGCGTGGCAGCTGGCTTCAAATGCCCAGTCCTCGAGGGAGCCTGGGCCACAAGGGCCTCGGCCTCCTCGAGACTTTTGCCGGGCCCAGGCAGCTGGCTGCGGAGGCGCCGCCCGGAGCCGCCTTCCGAGAGGCAACGTGAAGCGGAGCGGCGAAGCGTTGGGGGAAGCGTTCGCTGACTGTCCTCGTGAGGATGGCAGGCTCTGGTTCACGAGCGGAGGCGGCGCTTCGCGAGTTCAAGTAGACATCGAGATTCCCAGGACAGGGCCGCAGGGCGACTTCTTCTTTCTTGGCCCTTGTGCCACTTTGCATGAAAAGGCCGTGAGCAGTGTGAGCTGATCTTTGCACGCCGTCTTCTCAATCTAAGCCACACTGCCGGGTGCAGGACGTTCAGTACCTTTATGCTCCTCGGACAAGACCAGGAATTCGAGATTGTGATGGGTACTTCAACAGCGAGCTTCCAGCTATCGGGGAGTGCGCTGCGACCTGCATGGTAGAGTCCTTGGGGCCAGATAAGTTTTACAAAATGAAAGGAAGGACGAGGGGTGCAAGGTGGCCAGGCACCTTTCAGTGCTTGTAGGGTCGAGAGCTTCCGTCTTTGAGGAGAGCCCAAGCTGTTGAGCGTCCGAAGGAGGTCGAGTCCAGTCGCAAGTCGTAAGCCGACCGATGGTTGATGCTGACTCTCGTTGAAACAGGAGCGCAGGCGCCGGTTTGTCACTCGAAAGCTGAGAAACGAAAATCCGGGGGACGGGGGATACTTCCGTAGCACTGGAGCTTTCGGCTGCTCCGAGGAGAGGCCTCATGTTCCGGTCTGAACTGAAAGAGGGCACTGCGATGCTCTTCCAGTGGGACCGAGATGGAGCTAGAAGCTTTTGGATGGACTTCGTCTCAGGATCTTCCATCATCTGTTCCACATGGGTTTGATCGAGTTCAAGTTGGTCGGACTTACCATGTCTCAGTACGGGCTGCGTCACTAATTGCTCAATGTATGAGGAAAACACCTACATGCCGCTAGACATTGTCTACGTCAATAGCGAGCACAAAGTAGTTTCAATTAAGAGGCTTGGCTGCATCCGTGGAATCTCAGGAAATTTGAAATCTGCATGTCTGGACCAAGTGCGACCCAGGCAAGCTACTCCACTTTCCAGAATGAGTGTGCCAAGTGAGCTGCCGGCCAGCTCAGCCATAGAGCTGCCTGAAGGTTCATTCTCCAGTCTGGCCTGTTGCTGCATGCAAAACGGTCACAAGATGAGCAGGCTGGTGCCGGCGGAATGGCGTCAGCATCGGTGACACAGCAATATGGAAAGCTGATTCGCCAGCTTTCATCGCAAGAGATGCACCTGCGGCTTTGCTGCAAGTCGAAGGACATCGGCTTGAAAGGATCAAGCTTTGAAGAGCCAAGGACTTCGGGGCCAGTCAAGCAGAGGTAGAGGAAGCCATCCGAGATGGCAGCTACCAAGCCTAGGGCCACCGAAAAAGAGGGAGCGTCCCCGTCCCCGTCATCTCTGGCTGACGTTAATTGTGCGAGCATCGCGAGCAGGTTTCATCCGATGCCGACTATGCAGGCCGAGCAACATGCGCTCAAAGTGATGTAAAACGCAGAGCGGTGATCGAGACAGCTTCGACAAATTGGGTTGGGACTTTCAGCTGCTTTTTCGTGGTGGTCCCCCGATGCAAACATGACAACAGCGTTGCACAGCGCCAAGCCAGCAGCGGGGGCAAACAGCCATTAGCCAAGCATGCTGGAGCTCTGCGTGAGCATGGCAGAAGCGATGGCAAGCCAGCTGTCGTTGCACAGATTCAGATGACTTAGATCATGTGCGATTGATGACAGTGCACTCTGCAGTTGAAGCTACAGTTGTGCAAGCAAGTCCATGCTGCCCTCAGAACAGGTTTTTGTTGTGATACATTACTCGCAGGTGCCTGTCCGTGCTGCGGAACAGTCGCAGCTTTGCTTCGCCGTGCAGGTCCCGGAGATGTTTGTGACGACCAACAGCCTCGTCAGAGCTGTGGAAGGACTCGTATCGTGTCGAGCATACGGGCTATTATAGACTGTCTGCGAGGCAGCAGAGCGGTAACGTCCTGCTGTCCAGGAAGAAGAGTGTTCGGGTCGCTGCAATGTCTGATCCTGAGCTTGCCCGAGCCACCGTCTTCTGTTGCATTGCATGCAGGCAAACACGCAGAGAGTACAGAAGGTAATTGAGGTGAAGTCTCCAAGAGCATTTACGTATTACTGTCCATCAATCGGTTCTTTGTAGCTCGCCATCACACGGATGTCCACACACACACACATACACTGACAATGACTATTCCCAAGTCGAGCTAGATTAGTGGAGGACCGGGGAAGAACCTTCAACCCGGATGCCTGGAAATGCAACATGCAGCACAAGAACAGGCCTTACAATGCGATGACAACCCTCACGCATTGCAATGTCGTCAGGTAACAGCGGACAGGGCACGCTTGTAAGGAGAAGCTTGAACCATGAGAAGTTTGCTTTGCAAAGCCTGGGTCCTGGACAGGCTCTTCGCATTGCAGCGCTGCGTTCGCCGACACTTGGCCGAGCTGCTCGCTCTCTGGAAAGAGGTGCCACGACCAGCGGCAGTTCTTGCCGCCTTGCGCTAGCGTCAAAGAAGTCTCCTGCGCATTTCTGTATGGGGTTTCGTTTTCCCTACGTGTAGCAGCACCCTCGAAGCCTATTGCTTGTGTGTCTGTACGTTTATCAGACTTCTCGAAACGTTCAAGCCGGTGCTGCAGACTTTGGATATTCTGGATCTCTGAATGATCCCGCCGTCAAACCATCTCAGCAGAGTTGACAAACTTGTTGGTTGGTTCGCTCCAGAATCAAGAACCGTGCCTGACTCGGTAACTCTGTTAAACTAACCGATATGAAGAGCTCAAAGAGTGATGGAGCACCAAGCAATCCAAGCCACCCCATGTTTTATGAGAGTTACGCTTCGGTTGGAGCACGATTACGCACCGCGCTCGGGAGCAAGTTTGTCGGGGTGTGGTCTTCTGCCGGTCTCCTCGTGCGCTGCTGCGGTCCCGAGTCTCTTCCGGAGCGATTTGCTTCCGAAGCCTTTCCTGACCCCGAGGCCGAGGCCTTTCCGAATGATTTTGGACTTTGCAAAACCGATTGCACCACCATCAACATGCATTCGCGCCATGTCTGGCGTGTTTCTATGCATGCGTGTGTTTGTGTTGGCTCAAACCCTCCCTCCCAACCCCACCCCCGTTTCTAGGGTTGCGGTTTGCGTGTGGGGTCGGTTTCGTTTCAGGGCTTGGTTTTGTTTAGGACATACCTGCCTAGGCCCCCCAACCCCACGCGTTGTTGAGCCGTGCAAGCTTGCTTCAAAACATGTGGGCGTTTGTGAGTCCTATCATGCGAGCATCGTGTTTGCAATTGGGGGGGGGGGCGCTGCGCACCACCCAACCCCCCGATGTTTTGACCGTGCCAGCTTGCTTCAAAGTGTATGAGTTTCCTTTTTTGGAACCCATCATGCGGTCATTGTGTTCGCTGCGCCCATCGCAAACCCCCGCTCATGAACATATCGGAAAATTAGAGGTTATCCTTTGAAACTTTTGTGAAAATACAGATTTCCATTGAAAACACAGAGAAAACAGAGATGTACCTATTAAATTAAAACATAAAGAAAGTTTGTTTGCTTCATGAAATCTCGAGAAATAGATGTTTTCCCCATACGAACTGTAGAAAATAAAGGATTTTGCAATTAAAATACGAAGAAAAAAGAAGTTTTCCTGCGAAAATAAAGGTTTTCATATGGCAATGTAGAGAACCCACCCCACCAACCAAGAAAAAGGAACGAACAACAACTCCACGCGTCGTTTACTGCTGTCTCTGCGGTAGGCCCAGCATACCAAGAGTTCATTCCGGTGCAATTTCGGTGGCTTTCGGAGGTTGCCGTGTTGCTTCAGAATGTGGCATGTCGCCTGTCCTGCGTGATGAGCACAGTATTCCCAACGTCTCAATGATAGAGCTGAGCCCAGCATGCTGTTGCTTTCGGAGCTGATGCAGGAAGGCGTCACATTCCATTGTCGCCAATTCTTCCAAGTGTTGATTGGAGCTTGCAAAGACCTCTGACAGTCGTTTGTTACCGTTTGGTCGGACAGGCCTAGCCTTTCAGGAGCTCATTCCCATGCAGTTTCTGTCGTTGTCGGATGTTGCAGTGTTGCTTC